TGTCTTAAAAGCGATCTTCCATTCATAGTCACGCCTTATGCTAATTTGATGGTAGGCACTTCTAGAACCTATTTTGCAAAAAATGAATGACCGAAAAATAGGATCGAGCATATTATCTAGCCTAGGTATGGGGATCTATACTCGATTATGATCTTATTTATGGTACAACTATCTATGCACATTCTCCAAGATTTATTTTTTTTGGAGTGAGAAGGGATGTGATGGGGACATCAAATCGTGAAAGGTCTATCAGAGATGTGGCCGTCGATCTACAACAACGATTGAGTCATTGTATTTCTCATTTGTTTTATGTATTTTTTTATTTATGATGTCATATTATATTTGCTTTATTAGTTTCCCGTTTTGCTCTTTTGTTAAGGGAGGTCGTATGTAAGCCCTAGGGGCATTGTCGGCCTGTTTTGTTTTGAATCATTGTAAGAGGCTATTTATAGCCCCATTGTTCTTCTTTTCAAGTTAATGAATGATCGATTAAAATATTTCTTCCCCTTGCATGAGTTCTTATGAGAGCTTGAGAAATCTGAGAGATTCCCTAGGAGAGGGAGAAGTGCGCATCACCCAACAACCTAGACGAGTCGGGTTCGTGGTTCTATTTTTGTATCTCTTTCATTCTCTTTTCACCACCATCGGCCAACATCACACTCACGGTTTCTCCCTTCCCCAAGCCTTTCCCCTTCACTCAACCAAACTCCACATACTTCCCACCTAGCCGCCGGCCTCATACCCGAATCCCTCCATCCCGCCGGCCCTAGATCCCCTCCCCATTGCTTTCCCTTGCCTAATTTGGATTGGCTTAGTTTGGACAGATTTTGGAATTCAAATTTAATCAATTTGAAATTTAAAATCTTTCATAAATTACCAAATCTATTTTAGGAAAATTCCTAAATTAAATCTATTTGAATTTCAAATTCAAATTGGATTAAATTAAATACTTTCCTAATTCCTAAACCCAAATTAAGCAAGCATGAAACCTTGCATTTAATCCCCCCTAGCCACCTCATGCCGCCGGGCCCCCCTCATTAAAACCTCTTAGATTTGTGTCCAAATCCCCTCAACCTTTCTTGGGAACCTTTCCTAACTCCCCTCTCCACCCTTGGCCGAATTTTTCAAAGCTCCTTTTCTTTTATTTACTTTTCAAATCCAAATAATTGGATTTGGAAATATTTCCCTCATTCATCCCTCTCTCTACCCGCCCCCCCTCTCTACCTCTTTCCAATCCCCTTTCTCTATATTAACACCCCTTCCTCTCTTGGAATTAAATTCAAACTTAATTCCCTAAATCACCCCCAATTAAAAATATGAAATTTATTTCAGATTTTAAATTGTTCTTCCCCTTTAAACCTACTCCTGCTCTCCGCACACTCATCCCTTGGCCGGACACACTACACCTCCACTTCAAGTTTTAGATAAACTTCTTTCTCTTTAACGGAGTTCAAAGTTGCTAGTGTTCTTCGGAAGCAATCATCGTCGAGCATTCATGAATGGCCGATCGGGAACTTGACTACGGCCTCTCCTACGATGAGCAAGGATTTATTTGCATCTTGCACTCGCCTTTCTTCGATGTCAACCCGCGCATCGACCACACCTTAGAAGAGTACGTGGATCGCATCTTGGATACCTTGGTTGAGGCCATTGAAAAGCAACTTGGAACCGTTGAGTGGAGGATTACAACCGATCTTTGACAAAGGTTTCTAATCTCCCTTTTCCTTATATTTTATAAAGTCTAACCCTTTCTTTGTGATTTGATTGTAGTCATGAAGGTCGCGTTTGCCCGATTCTGCCAAGCTTAGTAAACGTAGGGAATTGAGTGCACTTCATTATTTTTTAATCTTATTGTTAGATTAGGGATTTTCGTTGAAAGCTACTACCTTTGCATGATATTGTTTTCCTACATTATTTTGATTATTCAAGGCTCTTGAGATGCAACTTAGCCTAAACGAAAGTGACTGATCTTATATTTTGATTCATAATTTTATTTGCTAATAGTTCTCTTTGTTATTTCTCTAATCAATAAGTTGTGCAAGCTCTTAATAAAACCATTGCAAGCATTGTAGTCCTACATCAGGATGGGACAACATAGAGGCCAAAGCTTATAAGAAACACTTTTTAAAATGATCATTCACTTAACGTTGCAATTTCGCATGTTCAATATGATTTGTTTATAATGGGATAAATTTGGCAATTGTGAACTTGGGCTGAAGTTAATGACGCACTGGATGTCTCTCATTGGAGGTAACTCATGAGGGGTCAAATTAAAGAACTCAGAAAGGAGATTAGAGATTGCAGCAGGTATGTGAATCTCTGAAGGAGTGGGAGAGATCTCCTTAAAATGTAAGAAATATAGTGTGACATCCAAATAAAATTCTTTTTTTAACCTTTTGAACCCTAAAGTTTCAATGTGGATCCTTGTGGGACTAGGTAAGTCAATAGAGAAGGCTTCATGGGCTAAGGGTGTTGACCCTTCCCGTAACAAAAAAAAAAAAAAAAAAAAATGAGAGTGAGGAGCTTTA